CCAACCCAAAGGCATTCGGTTTGAACCCCCAAGTGTTCCATGGGAGAAAGATGGGCAATCTCTCCCTCTGCAATTTACAGCTTCTGAAAATCCACTGGAGGGTCAGCTATGAATCGGTTCCTACTCAGTGATCCATAACATATTTTACTATTAAACACACAAATCAAAGTGTTTCTCAGGGGAAAGGGGAGATGGGTTATTTAGCACATATTTAATGCTCCGACCCTAATCTCAGATGATAAGATTCTGTCCTTCCTGCACCAGCTTAATTTCAATATCAGAAATTCTTCCTCTGAAAATAAGCAGCTTCACTATTCTCCAACTAACAAAGTGATATGAAAAAGAACAAAAAATGTGGGAAGAATTGATGTTGAAACTATGGCATTTAGGTTATTGAAACAAGAAGGGCTACAAGAAAATTCACCAAAATAAAAACATCAATTACTGGCACTTTTTCTTTTCTCCTAGGTATTCTCCTCTTTTCCCCATTTTCTAACAAACAAGTGTGGGTTTTCTGTTGTTGTTTATTATTTTATTTTATTATTTTGTGTATGTGTACCGTCAAATCAGATCTGACTGGTACAGGAGGAGATTGTCCCTCCTTCCCCAGCAGAGCATCTGGTGGATTTGAACCATGTTCCTCTGAGACTGCAGTGCAGCTTCTTGCCACTAGGCCACCAGAGCTCCCCAAACAGGTTTTTTTTATGAACCTTTTTTGCCTCCTGCTCACAAAAGTAGCACCGATTCATAGGAGAAAATTCAGAAAGCACAGGGAGACGAATGATGTATGGCCCGCCCTCCAGAAGCAGCCAGTGCCAGCACTGCAGTGGGGCCCTCTTTCCCTGTGGACACAGGTCTACAGCTGCTGTTAGGTACCACTGAGTTCTGATTCCGTAAAAATGAAGAAACCCGTGCCCTGTCCAGCCCCATCCTCAAACCCCTACTCTATTCAAGCCCGTTGTCGAAGCAAATGGAGTTCAGCAACCAACTGGTGACCAGGCAAGGGCACAGGGTCCAAGGAAGGCAACCTTGAAGGGGCAGGAACGGGCACTGTGTGATGGTTATGTGCACAGCTGCTGATGGAGGACCCTTGATTCACACTCACGGAGTGAATCCTGCACCAAGGAAACCCCACAGGGCCATCCTACTCTGTCACATGGGGTCACCAGAGTGGGAACTGACTGGACAGTGAATGACAACTGAAGAAGAGTCACGTGAGGTGAGCTCCCTGGAATATGAGTGGAAGAGAGACAGGAAATGAAGCATGCTAGGCAATGGGAAGGTAAGCATGGGCAGAGCACCAAACAAGGCCCACCAGAGACTGTGGACACACGAGGGAAAAGGAGTGACTTGGATGGGAAAATGGATAATGACTGGCTGGACAAAGCCTTCCAGGCCAGAGGTGAGAGTCAGGGCTGGTCCTTTCCCTAGAAGGGATGATTACAGTCCAAGGAGCAAGGCACTGACTTTTACCGCTCCTGTCGGTTTGGACCACCAACCTTCCAGTTAACAGTGCAACCCATAACCCACTCAACCACCAGGGCTCCTTTTAAAGGCACAGAGCAAGTACCCCTCAAACTAACCACCATCCTAGTTCATTCACTCACACAAGGCTTGATGTTTACCTGACCACTGAGCTCTCCACAGACCCAAGAGCACACGTGTCCACACAAAACTTGTAAATGAATGCTCCCAGCAGTAGATTTCTAATCAAACAGTCCAAAAAGTGGAAACAACCAAATGCTAACTGATGACTGGTTAAGTAAAATGTGGTAAATCTTCATAACAAAATCATCTTCAGCTGTAAAAAAAGGAAGTGGTGATATACAGTACAAAATGCATGACCCCTGAAAGCATGATATCAAGTGAAAGCCGGACATAAAGGGTCAGTCCTGGTGGTGCAGAGCATAATGTGCTGGGCTGCTAAAGAGAAGTTGGCAGCTTAAACCCACCTGCTTCTCAGTGAGAGAAAGACAGAGAAGTCTCCTCCCAGGAAGGTTTTACAGCCTCAGAAAAGCAATGTAGGATCATATGCATTGGACTCAACATGATGGCAATGGTATACCTATGTTGTTGTTGTTGTTATCGCACTGTCTCAGACACTCCCATCCTGATTATCCCAGTCACTGAATCAATCCACCTCATAGAAGGACTTCCTCTCCTGCGCTGTCCCTCCACCCTCCCAAGCATGATGTCCCTCTCTAAGGACAGATCTCTCCTCACAACATGTCCAAAGTATGTTAGACGGAGCCTCAGAATCCTTGCCTCTAAGGAGCCACCCGGTTTAACCCTTTCCAGGACAAATCTGTTTTCTTAGCAGTCCATGGTATTCTCAATACTCTTCTCCAGCACCACAGCTCAAAGGCATCAATTCTCCTTCTCTCCTCCTTGGTCATTGTCCAACTCTCCGATGCATAACAGGTGATTGCAAAGACCATGGCCTGTATCAGATGCACCTTAGTCTCCAAAGAGACACCATTGCTCTTCAGCACTTTGGAGCGGTTCCTAACAGCAGACTTTCCCATTGCAATGCGCCTGTTAATTTCCTGGCTGCTGGTGCCAAGACTGTTGACTATGGAGCCAAGCAAACTAAAGCTGTGTACAATCTCAATCTCTTCACCATCCATCCTGATGCTGCCAACTGGTCCAGTGGTGAGAATCTTTGTCTTCTTGACATTGAGACTCAATCCATATTGTAGGCTGCAGTCCTTGACACTCTGCAGCAGGCGCTTCAGGTCCTCTTCAGTTTCAGCAAGCAGGGTTGTGTCATCCGCATAACGCAGATTGTTGATAGATCTTCCACCAATCTTGACCCCACATTTCTCCTCATAGAGCCCAGCCTCCCGGATAATCTGTTCTGCATATAGGTTGAAAAGGTATGGAGATAGGATGCATCCCTGGTGTACACCCTTCCCAATTTTGAACCATGCAGTGTTCCCTTGCATATAAAGCCCACATTAAGTAAATCTATTAAGAGAAAGGAAATCTAAACAGAATGTTCCTTAATCACATTGTCAGAAGAGACCAACTGCTAGACAAGAACGTCATGTGAGGTAAAGGAGGGGGGTCTGTAGAAAAGAAGAGATCTGAGGGAAATGGATACACAATCAACAGACACATCAGGAGATGGCACAGGGCCAAGCAACACTTGTTGGTTCCCCAGAGTGGAAGTGGACCTGGCACCTAACCACACTGAGAAAGCAGAAAGTAGACTGGCAGTTTCCAAAGCTGGAAGGGGAAGAGGCAGGGGAGAGGGGTGGAACTGCTAGGTTCTGGTGCTAGAGTTGTAAAACTGATTACCTTGCTAGGTGCACAGTTCTGGGCATCTTCTAAAAACCCACTGGATTGTACAATTTAAATAGATGTGTTGTATGTAAATTATATCTCAATAAAGAAAGGATGTCTGAGCACCTCTGGCAATATGTTAAAGTTGTTGGAAATCCAACAAAGAAAAAATACACAGACTCTGCCCTCAAGGCTCTAACCTTCAGCTAAGAGCAATTTACAGAAAGAGATAAAGCTCACAGATTGTCCAAACATACCTAGCCTAGACCTCAGTGATTCAGACGTCCAGAAAAAGAAATAATTTACCATATGTTCATTCATACATACAAAGAATTTCTTACAAAGAAAAACTAAGTGCCTGCTTAACAGCTTAAATTTTTTTCTTATTTATAAAATTGATAGTGGATTGAGGTGGTTGTTTTAAGCATTTGTACATGTATAATAAGTTCATGTTTTGAATTTCTCAAAAGCAAATGATTAAAATCTGTTAATACAATACAGCAAGGCTCAGTTGAAATGTGAGTGTTACAAATTTATGGGTTTGCTGTAAGGAGGTGGTAAACTTTTCCAGCACTTTCCACTGGAAGACAAATGAGTGAATACTGTGAAGGAGAAGTGCCATATAATAAAACCGAGCCTTTAAGAATTAGTCACAAACGGGAAAGCAGTGGACTCTGAAAACTCACTTATATCAAAAGAATTAGTCACTTAATGTTCAACCACAACGCTGGAAATTAAGACTACTGATAACTGTTGCCAGGGACACAGTGAAGCCAAATTTCTTCGTGTTTTAAAAAAACAAAAACCCCAAAACAAAACCAAAGCCACCACGTAAACTTAAGGAGGGGGAAGAGGGTAAATTTGGTGTGAACCTCCGTGGCCAACACCTGCCAGAAACTTTCCCAGAATAAGAGTGAACCAATGGTAACTTTCGACACACACGGTGGAAGCAGTGCTGCATAAAGCACCTCGCCGGAGTTTACCAAGTGCTAAAAAAAGTTTACTCTCTTCTCTGGGGGAGGAACAGGACCAAAGCCGCAATCAGAGCTACGCGTACGGCCGGCCGCGCAGGGCGCAAAGAGTCAACGGCACAGCTCCAGCGCACAGCATCCGCGCCCGAGTCCTGCAGGGGCCTTCAGGTTACCCGGGGGAGCCCAGCTCCAGCCCCGAGCCAGCCTGGCCCTGCCCACGCCGCTCCAGCGCCTGGCATTCCACGCGCCGTCCCCACTCGCGTGCGCTCAGGACGCACAGTCCACCCGCAGAGCGTGGTTCCGGGCAGCCTGGTGCCGAAGCCGAGAAGATGCATAAGGTCCAGGCCGGGGAGAAGGTCTGGCTGCGGAGCCCTGATCGGAGACAGCCTGGCCTCAATCCCGTAGACCGTGACAGTCCGCGAGGGGAGGCCCCCAGGGCGCACCGGGCCCGGGCCCCCGTGCAGTGCGCAGCACCCCGGGCGGGGAAAGAAGGGAAGCGGTCGGGATGCCCAGGCCACCGCAGCCGCCGGAAGGAGCGGGACCTCAGCCCTCTAGACCCCGGCGCTGGGACCGAACCCCTGGAGGGGCGGGGCAGCTGTCACTGACTCCGCCTCCCGCGCCGCCGGTGAGACATTTCGGCGACACGGACAGAGCGCCCCGGACGCCGCATCCCCGGGACCTGCGCCGCGGGGGCCCATCCCCCACAGCCCTTCAGCGCTCCCTGCCCCCCGGAACAGCGGTTACCTGGCGCGCGGGCGGGGTCGCGGACGCGACCGGGCGGAGGAGGACCCGAAGGATGGCAGCCGCCTCCGACCCGCGGAGATTTCGTGAATTTGAGAGACTTGTTCCGCACTGGGAGACAGCTGTCTCCTGCGCACGCGCAGAGGACCCCG